GGGGGGGGGGGGGGGGGGGGGGGGGGGGGGGGGGGGGGGGGGGGGGGGGGGGGGGGTTCGGTCATCGTCCCTGCTGTTTGGTGTAGAATACCCACCCACACAGACAGGCATACGTAGACATCTGCCGATATGCACCACGTGGACTTGTTTCATGTGCGTGTATACACCACCATCTGACCGTAGTGGTGGAGGTGGGTGGTGATGGTAACTGCTGATTGGTTGTATTGGCGCCTACGTATTATGATAGTGGCTCGATTCGAGAGAGAGCGGGGTTGGGGAGGGGGGGAGGGGGGAAATGAACGGTGTGAACGGTGTCAAATTCCCTTGGGGGTTCAAATATTTATATGGTATCGTGATGAACACGGCCACTCTTTTTGATGCACTCGAGTGCTATGCTCTACATCACTTGATTGCGCCGCACACTTGGTTGAACAACGCTAATGGTAGGGGGGGAAGGGGGGGGCAGGAGGAAGCGTGCTCGGAGGGCTCAGGGCCTATCCAACTCGAAATTTTTTTGAAGAACGAAACATCGCACATATGAATGTGCTCGGCGGTACGACGCATATAGCTTGGGGGAGTCTTTTTCGCCCCTGGAAGAACTCGGGTTGTTGGTACGTGCGTGTCGTGTTGGATGGTGTTAGATCCCACACGCACCCCTTCCGCACAACCTTTTGGCAACATTCACTCTCTTGTGATAACTCGGCCCTGCTGAAGAAGCTTCGATTTTCTCGGCAATTGGTCTCTTCTCTCTTCTTGTGTTGCGTGTGTAACCGATGTTGGACAACTACATACGTACGTGGTAGGTAGCGTCTCAGTTAATCTGCTCTTGCATGCACATCCTCTCGCAAGTTTGTTTTCGGACCCGTTGATTTCTTGTAGGGTTACTTTTCGGCTCCCGGAACATCGTCACACAACACTCGCCAATTTTTTTCTCCCGTTCGAAAAATCAGCGAAAGAAAAAACCTACACGTCTACCTATGCATGCCCGAGATACATCGTAGCGCAAGAAGGCCACGAACAAACGTGCGCGGGTGGGAAGACAAGAGTCCAACATGTCCGTTACACGAGCCCCACCACGCCTCTCGTAAGATGCGTTCTACTTCGTCTCAAGGCCCTCTCGTCTGTTCGTGTTTTTTTGCAAACGGCACACCCCGCGACCGGGGGCGGGTAGGGAAGGGTTCAGCCCGATTGTTTGTGACTCGTACCGCGCTCCAAATGTTTATCACGGGTAGGTGCCATAAATCTACACAAAAACAAAAAGAGCAAAACAAAATGGGACAGCTGATTCAGATCACGATTTTTCCTCGCCTTTGTGGATGACTGATCACTGCTTCGACACGAGTGCGTTGGGGTACATGCTTTGAACGGGTGTGGTTGCATTGTCTCGCCACCTCTCACTCATAACCTCCTCTCATAAAGAGTAACCTGTTCTCGATCGGCGCAGGCAGGTCAAATGGGCTTGAACGCCAACATCACGAAAAAAAAAAAAACGAGCACCGTCACTGCTGAGTCCTGCAGTCTTCGTCGCTGCTGCTGCCCAGCCAAACATAGCACCGAACCGTTCGATTGTCTCCTCTTCTCCCAACTATAATCTTGACGACCGAGAGACTCGATTCGACGGAAAGACACAAGCAAAAGCTTGTCGCAGTGAACAGCGCTTGAAGCGAGAGACACGTGCACAGCCTAATCGGCAAAATAACACCACATTTTCGTCGTTTTCATGGCCAAGCACAAACCACAGCGGCAACCAGCAATCGACTCCTACAAGCCCGTCCGGCCAGAGATGCTGTCCGACACGTGGTCACGTCACGCTCTTTCTTACTCAAGACTTGTTAGCAGAAAGAGTTGGCACACAAGAAACAAACGTGTTGGTAAGGCGCAGCAGCAGCAGCGGCAGCAGCGGCAGCAGCACCACTGCAAAGTCATGGTCTTCTGCCGCTCATCAATCAGCATCAACGAACCTTTCTTGCTAGTTCTACGCCGCTAATGATGCGATGCGACTGCGCACCCTTCTCGACACACGTGGAAAGGAAAGGCACGAAAAAAATCCCGATGGCGGCTTCTCTCTCTCTCTCTCTCCCTCTCTCTCTATCTCTCTCTCGCTCTCTCTTGTACTTTTAGGTGAGGGGCTTCGAGTCCAAGGCTGCTTGTAGGAAAATCAGACTACATACAGCAGAGATTTTGTGGTACTTACGCAATTCGTAGATTGGTCAAAACACCTGCGGATGACACGAGAAAACAAAAAACAACCCCTCCCCCCCCGTAAATATACACAACAGAATCACGCCTCCTTCTGCAGAGAGCCGGCCAAGAAGAGCTTCTCGAAGGACGACCCCGCGAACTTATTGATCTGAGAACAGTATGCGGAGATCTGGTTCGAGATCAACAGCCCCTCCATTCGATTCGGCGCATCCAACTGAACAACAAAAGAGGCAGCGCGCAGACGAGGAGGATGGAATGAGAGGGGAAGGGTTACAAACGTGAGCAGACTTTGTCTTCAGGTGCTACTTGGATAGAAATGCGTGCTCTTGGAGTTATTTCTTGGCTTCGTGTGGAAACGCAAAGTGAGCTCCCCTCCCCCACCTACCCCCGCATGACGTTGTACTACGTATGTCTTTCCCGAACCGAAAAACAACAACAACCTTGAAGTTTGTAAAACCCGCACACGGTTGTATGTTGTCCTCTCTCCGAACCTAAACTAAAAAATGATGAAGACGTCGGCGAAAAAACGCTCGCCGGATCTTTCCAGTTTGTTGGTATTACACCTGACTTTACCACAGGAGACGCAAGACAAAACGGGAAAAGAAAGAGCAGCGCAAAATGCAAAAGAGACGGCCTTTGCCTACTCGCGATGACCAGCAACCTGTTTCGTCCAACACAGCAGGCAGACTACAGCACCCGACGACAAACAAAAATGAAACTGTTTTGTCCAACACAGCACGCACACTACACCCCACACCCCACAAACCTTCTTGTCGAATGCCGAATCTTCCTCCGGCAGCGCTTCCTCGCCCGCAGCTCGGCGCTCGTCGTTCTGCTGCTTGCGCTTCTGGAGCAATCGTGCTTGGTCCTGCTCCACGGACACGTCGGCGTGGGCAGGTAAGGGACGACGGCGAGGGGGGCACACAGAGGTGGAGAGGAGGTTCGGTCAAACGTACGCCCCGGTGGAGGAAAAAAAAAAACTGGTCGAAACGGCAGACTGAACACGTACTTGCATACGTCAACAAAAATGCGTACATACTTGTGTACGAGAGCCTTCTGAGTGCCGCAAGACTTCTCACGATGGACCTCACGTTTGTTCTCGTCAAGCTTACACTAGAATAGTAGGAAATCGACCAATATCCGAGTGCATCTCCCCTACACGGCTGTCTCCGACGGAACAGAACACTCCAGGTCCAAGCCCACCACACCTATAATACCTACGGCTTCCTTCCCTACACCGCTAAATACCATTGCGAACCAGACTCAGATACTGCTCTCCGGTGCAGGCGCGGAGGGCACGCGCTGGGCAAGCTCGTATTGGTCAGCCGTGACCTTGTATGGCGGCCGAATCGACTATGGCAGTTCTCTCGACGGGTAGTTCGACCAACCAACGCGTCTACCTCTTCCAAGTTTCTCCTACGGTTTATGGAGCCGCTTCGTCTAAGAGACAAAAAAACAAAGCGGGGTGTGTGTGTGTGTACTCATAGTCGTGCATGCCGTAGTTGTTAGACCATTGACCTCGCATCCCTGCAAAGCCGGGACGGAGCACGCCGGGTTCTCACCGGACCAGGCTCTCACATCACCAAGCGCGAAGCGCCGTGAGGTATTCGGCGAGTCGCATGAAGGGTGCGCTGCATCCTGCTAAGGGTGTTCGGCATCTTGTGCTTACTTCCTTGGGTACGGATGACAGCTGCGTATGACTTAATTTA